TTATATATTGATAACATATTTCAGCGACACATTTCTTTGTTTCACTCAGAACCATGGTATAGTAGTGCTAAGATATTTTTGCTAAGATATTTTTGCACCATGCTGTATTTATCAAATCTGTGCCGTACGGCCGTTTTAGAGTTATCTCCATGCTTTTTGCATTCACTCTTTTCTTCCTAGAACGATATTTGTCAAATATGACGTTCTTTTATATTCAGAAAGTCCTTTCCTAGGCTCAGTAGGATGTATGGACCTATATGAAAATTTTTGGCAAAAGACTTTTACGGCTTTTACCCCTTTTGGCATCAAATATTAATCGATGGGTGTTGGTATTCTATCGACATTGGTTCATACGCGCTGTAACTCCCCCTCCCTCATCCCTAATGAACATCAATTATTGCCAGTCAGAAATCATTTGACAATAACAGTACGAATAAACAACAAGTTTAGCAACCAGTGTCGTCCAATTCGAACTAGAAACAGGCAACTGTAGTTGAAATATTCTTTCAGAAAGCTCAAAATATCAAATTCGCATTGTTGTACGACTTGGAGACCATCCTTCTAATTAAAAGTTAAAAAGTTCGTATGAAGGGGCAAAATGTGTTGAACAGATAATTTTTCGTATAAGATCTGCATGCCAAACTAGAAGTTACCTACACAATTGAAGCAGGAAGCTTTGACCTGTTTTTTATCCATGATACTTCGCTGCGCTTCATTCTCTTACTTCGTTATGAACACATGTTCCTTTGGCTTATATTGTTCCTACTTAGGGTTAGACACGTTTGGGCTAAAAGTTCACTTCATGGCCTATTACTTGATGAGCTTGGTTTGTTTTTCTGGGCTATGAAGTGTATCAGTGGAAGGAACAACTGGCTTCTTTTATGAGTAATATGTTCTTTTCAGGTTCAAAGCAGCGATCCTGGGTAGATTTAGCAATAGCGAGCCGCAGCGACTTATTCAGTCGTTTTCGGATGCTGTGAAAGTGATGTTAAGCCGAGATCGTGCTGTACTTGAAATTCTGGAAATTGATCTTCAGGATCAGGTATGCTTGTCTTCGTGTTTGACTGTTTAAGTCGTTGTTACTGCTATTGCAGTAGTGCTTTTGTTTCTAGATTCTGGCACTACTGGACGTTATGACGATGTCGCATATTGCTCAAAGCGACATACGTCCCGTTTGCTCGATTTTTGTCGAAATTCTGCGTTGGCTGTACACTGAAGCAGAAATGCAGTCGTCTTCTGAAAAACTGATCATTTGCGTTCGAAATCAGTTCGTTGAATATTTTAGTGCGAGGGGTCACCGTAAAAATACTCAATCGCTTTCATGTCTTTTGGCCTTTATGCTGGCTGAGCAAAACGGAAACGTTTATCAGTTGGGACTTGACTGCTGCAGGGAATGCTGGAACATGCTGATGATTCACAAGAACGCAACGTTCGTGCCTATACTCTGTGCTGCCATAAGTGATCGGTTTAGCGCTGGCCTGATACGTCATGTAACTCAGTTCGATAATACTGACGTGAACGTTGTGAAATGGTTTCTGTGCAGTCTGACTGCAGTTGTTCTTGATTGGGATTCAGCACTTGTGAATTACGTTGACATAGAGAGCTCCGTACGTCTCATTTTTCAAGCGTTATATTTGATCCCTCTTGAACAACAGCGAGAAGTGCTACATTCGTTGCAGGAGGTAAGCTTTGATTCTATGATACGTCGCTGTCACATATTCGATTTTTTGTGTTGTTGTCAATTTCGATGTCCATCTGCGATTTAGAAACAGCGCCGGACGGCTTGATTATATTACTACTACCAAATTCGTCAGATTTTACGCTCAAATCCTGACCAGATCTGACAATTAATTGCATAAAATATACTACGCTTGTTTTACTAAATAGCAAACTGGTACATGACACGAAGAATTACGTTCGAACGTGAAACAGAAATCAGAAAAATTCGCCATAATGGGTTTATTTCTGAGTTACAAGATGTTCTCTTTTTCCATTGAAAATAATTTACGAAATGCGTTGCACATGTCAGATTCGTTGTTTAGGTGCGAACTGTTGATGTGCAACAGTTAGTTTTGCGACAGCTGTGCACATTTGCCCAACAGAAAACCGGTGACGTTTGGGACGATTTCGTAGAGCAATTCGTCAAGTACTTCCGCAACCGTTGTCGCTTTGAAGGAAACATCGTTACCAGTTTCTTGTGGTGTTTCTCCGGCGGTTCGAAAGCTGTTCCTGATGTCTGACATTTAAATTGACTAGTTCGTTTCAGAGTCAGGGGTTCCACAGGATGTGCAGAGCCGCATAATGATCGAGCTGTTCAACACCTTCACCAGAGCTGTGATCGAGTTTCGACGCGGACCAGAACGACGGGATCACGATGACTGGTTTTTCGAGCTTAAAGCTATCTCCCAGTTTCTAGAGCAGATTGGGCCGCAGATGCATGTAAGAAAATCGAGTACCGTTTTCAGCTATATTCTAGTAATTCACTCAACTGCAGCTACCGTCGGGTGTGCAGCTGCTCAAACTCTTCGTCGAAATGTTTCGATTTTACATCTGCGACTTTCTACAATTACCAGGTATGCAACTACTAATTCGTAATTGTAAAGAGTATTCCGTTAGTTTTCTGCAATTTAGTTCGTCATAAGCATGTTCTCTGTTTTGAATATTAGTCTAATTTTACAAATTGTTTTTGATATAGGTAATTTTTATATCATTTTATGATCCAATTTTTTTCACTCATCTTCAATGGCCGCTTCTCCTTTCGGGCTGCGGAGGCAGACACGTCAGAAAGTGCTTCCAACGATCCAGATCTTGTGCCAGAGTCTGAGCTTCGGCAAAAGACAATTGGAGTATGGAGCAGACTCCTTCCATATATTTGTACCAGTTAATCTTCGGCTGTCCCCTGGTCCTTCTGCTGCTCGGTTTGGCAAGAAACAGTTGCTTAGCCTTCCTTTCTGGAGGCATCCGCAACACATGTCTAAACCATCGCAGCTGTGACTTCTTTATCAGGAGAAGCAGAGGCTGTATACCAAGGCTCTCCCGGATGTCTGTTTTCCGCAACATGTCGAGACGCGTAAGGCCACTGACTCGTCTCAGAAAGCCCATTTCAGCAGCTTGTACCGGGGTTCGAAGGTTTTCGGTTG